GGGGGGAGGGGGCAGAACGTGCTGCACTCCCCCCAATCCACAGAGCCTGGCAGCGGGGTGCCCTCGGAACAGCCCCCCAAGGCGTCGCCGCCCCCTCCCCACCGATCAGTGCCAGCCCGGGGCATCCTCCGCTGCCCCCCGTTCCCGGGAGCCGGGGGATTCCCATCAGCGGGGGCTTCCCCTCTGCCGGGGGGTCCCCGGGGGAGTCCCCGCAAAGGGGGGGGAGTCCCCAGCGCTGCGCAGCCCCAGGAGCTGGTGGGGGTCCCCAGGAACCAGAAGGCTCCCTGTGCCCCCCGAGGTGCCGGAGGGTCCCCGAGGGCTCACACGTCCCCGGGAGCGCGGGGGGGGATCCCCAGCGCCAGTGGGTACCGAGGAACGGGGGGCGATCCCGGACGCGGGGTGTCCCCGAAGAGTGGTATCCCCCTTTCCCCCCACGCCCCGCGCTGCACCCACCTGCGGGCAGACCCCCACCTCCTCTCCCCTCGTGTACCACCGGCGGTGACCATGACCCGGGGCGGGCACGTGCCGGTGCTGCGGGGAGCGCGGGTTGCGGGGGGGTCGGGGGGGACCGGGGGGGGTCTCCGCTGTGTCCCCTCGGCGGCCCCAGCGCGGGGCGGTGCGGTGCGGAGCGGTGCGGTGCGTCGTCGCGATCCCTCTCCCACGCGCAGACGCGCGCTCCCGCGCACCGCCGCTATTGTCTGCGGCTGAAACGAACCTCCCGAGGTGTCCCCGCGTCGCCGATATGGGGACGGGGAAAGCGCCCACCCCCGCCCCCCCCCCACACACCCCCCACACCCCTCCCCCCGCGGCTCCACCCCACCCCGCTGCGGGCACCACCAGGCTGGAGGTGCGGGGACCCCTCGGTGATCCCCTTCCCTTAGGGCGGAACGATCCCCGGGGGTCCCTCTGCTCGTCACTGGGAGCCGGGAGGGATCCCAAATGCCAAAGGGTGCAGAGGAAATAGGGGGTCTCCCGATGCCCGGTGTACCCCCAGTGCCCGGGGAGGGGTGGGGGGTGGGAGGCACAAACACCGATGGATCCACGGTTTCAGAGGGGATCCGGAACAAAGGGGGTCCCCGGTGCCAAGGGTTTCCCCAGCAGTAAAGAACATCGCCAGTGCTGGGGGGAGGCAGGAATCAGGGGATCCCCAAAGTCGGGGGGTTGTCCAGGAATGCAGTGGGGTCCCCAGGAATGCAATGGGGTCCCCAGGAATGCAGGAGGGTCCCCACGACTCAGAGGGATCCCAATGCCGGGGGGTCCCCAGGAGTGAGGAATGCCCCCAGAACATTGGGGAGTCCAAGGAACAGGGGGGATCCCCGGTGCCGGGGGGGTCCAGGAGTGCAGAGGAGCACGGGGGGGGTGGGGGTCCCCGGGGCTCCGTAGGGCGGTGCCGAGCCCGGGCTGTGGGGCAGCCCCGCTCCCTTTGTCAGGCTCGGGGCGGGTGTGCAAGGCGCGGCTTTGCACGCGGTGACTGTGGGTGCGCGTGAAACAAAGCATGGAAGGGGGGCGATTTGGGGGGTGGGGGGGGAGGGGGGAAGAACACGGCGAGGGGTGCGGGGCGGTGAGTGCACAGTG